TTTAGACCCTTTTATCTTTTTTATGAAAAAATAAACATTGATAGGTATAAAAGGATATTCAATTGAAACTGCCCTAGTATTTTCAAGATCAACTTGACCTAAATATGTTTTGATAGAAGATAAGATACCACGGTATGTAAGAAAATCTGTGTTTATTTGATATAAGTGGATAAATTCCTCAAAAGTATAGAAAGTGAGAGTATCACTGTCTTTTATTAAGTCATTCACAACAATAACCCCCTTTTTATACCATTCCTTATAAAATATAGTTTTTCCCCCAATAGTTAGGCTCTCATTGTACCATAGTGGAGCTGTTATGATGAACTTTTCCCATACTTGCTTTACACCACCTACACTATTGAATCTTGTCCATGCCAGAAAGATATCCTTCCAGAAATATTTTTTACAATTATTTTGACATAGTTTAATATACTCGTTACCACAATTTGAAAGCAAATGTAGGTCAATATATGTATTTAAAATGATTTGCCACTTTCCAGACTTTTGATACAGCCTCCTTAACCAACTTAACTTAAGCGAATCTATAAAGGATCTTACATTTACCATTTTGAGACCCCCTCTGTAATATTCTTGGGTTATGATATCCCTCTTAACTTTTTCAGTACTCCCATTCCACAAGAATTGAAAAAGCATTTTATTTAACCTATTCAAAAATTGATTGTCTGGATTTGGTAAGGAGATAAATAAATGAGTAAATTGTGGTAACATCAAAGATTTAATTAGCTGAATTCTCCCTAATGGAGTAAGTATTCTTCCACTCCATGTTTTAATTAGTGATTTTAGTTTCATTATTTTCTTATCAAAGTTCAATTTGGGGATCTCATGTAAGTTAACACTAAATTCTATTCCAAGGAGAGTGAACTTATTCTTTCCCCACTGTAAATTTAATTCAGGTAAAAACATATCTTCACTATAAATTTTACTTCCTATCCAGATCACCTGTGTTTTATCTATGTTCAATTTTAAAACAGAAATTCTCGCAAATATATTTAATTCTTCAATGGATTCTTTCAAAGATCTTTCTGTACCATCTAATATGAGAGACGTATCATCTGCATATTGAGAAATTAGGATTGGACTATTATTTATCCCTATACCCTGAATCATCTTATTGTTTCTTATCCTTATGGAAAGTATTTCCACACACAAAATAAAAATATATGGGGCGATTGGGTCGCCTTGGCGACAACCTCTTTTAATACTTAGAAAAGATGACAAATTACTTTCTTGATTGATAGTTGAATGAACATCTGTGTGTAAAACTTTCACCCATTTTCTCAGACTAGAACCAAAATTGAAAAATGTTAAGACTTTAGATATAAATTCCCATGACACTGAATCAAAAGCCTTCTCAAAATCAATCATTAATAACATACCTGGAATATTGTTTTCCTCAGTAAATTGCATGATATCGTAAACTAGTCTAGTATTTCCCCCAATATATCTACCCGCAATAAATCCTGTTTGATCATCACTGATTAATGTATTTAAAATATTTTTTATTCTACCTGCTATAGATCCTGAAGCAATTTTATATACAATATTTAACAATGATATGGGTCGCCAATATTTTAAGTATTGTCTAGGCTTATCTCCCTTGGGAATGCATGTAATAATTCCTTGTCTCTGAGTTACAGATAGTGAACCTTTATCATACCCACAATTTATGGACCGAACAATAAAAACACCTAATTGTTTCCAAAAACACTTTAAAAATTCTACATTTTTCATATTTTTTAATATTATTGCTGCTTCTCCCAAAGTAAGTAACCCTTCTAAACTTTCAGATTGAATATTATCTAATTTTGGAACATCAAATGAGTTTGTAAAATCATGTAAGTCTATGTCTTCAGTATCATAACTGTCATAATATAATTTTTCATAAAAAGAGCGTACTTCTTCTAATATTTCGTCCTGATCGGTAATAGTAGTATTTGGTTTCTGTATCTTAGGGATGATCTTGGAGGTGAAATTCCTGTTTTCTAAACTCAAAAAATAACTAGTTGGCTTTTCCCCTTCTTCTTGCCATCTGGCGCTAGACCTTATAATACTTCCATTTACTTTTTTAAGCCTCAAGCTTTCTAGTTCCTTTTTCTTACTTTCTAATTCTTCTAAATCTACATCTTCTTGTTCTTCTAATTCTTTTATCACTTTTTTCAAATTAAATTCATGCTTACTATGTTGTTTCTTTTTATAAGAAGAGTAAGAAATGCTTTTGCCTCTGATTTCCATCAGAACTGTTTCCAGAAAAAGTTGATCATCAATCATAAAAGTTAAATCTGCATCTGGAATATTGCTTTTGTTATTAATGTTGTAAACTGGCAGGCAATATTGTACTTTTACATCCAGAATAAGTTGTTTTACCATATTAAGATATTCTTGATCATATAAGAGAGATGAATTAAATTTCCAAAGCCCTTTCCCCCTTCTAAATTCATTAAATTTTAAAACAATTATAGGCAATGAGTGGTCAGATCTATATCCAGATTCAATAGCTGACCTTTGGAAACTAGACAATAAATTTTGTGAGACAAGAAAGAAATCTAACCTTGCCTGTTTTAAAGGGTTTTTCTTTCGCCATGTATATCTTTTACTTTCGTGAGTTAATTCTCTAAAAATATCAACTACAGAATAATTCTCAATAAATTCTAAAACTTTCTCTCTGGCTTTCCGGTAATTAATATTTCTGTAACTCTTATCATCATGTAATTCGGGATTTAGCACAAGATTGAAATCCCCACATACTATAAATTTATCATTACCAAAATTGTCTATTGTATCAGATAAAGTGTCATAAAAACTAGGTGTATCATTGTTGGGGTCATACAAATTAATTAGCGTAACTTTTGTACCCTCTAATTCTATATCCAGAGCTAAAAAATTCCCTGATAAGTCTTTTTTCTCCTTTTTAACCTTTATTTCGAAATTGTTATTTATGTTATTATAAAAACTTAATAATGATTAAATAATCAGTATTACTGATAACATGTTATCGTCATTCCACTTTTCTTCGTTAATCATTTAACATAACAAAAATGGATGTAAATTAGTTTGATAGTCTAATTAATAATTAATAGATGAGGCCAGAAATGATTACCTTGTCTGACATCTGAATGTGCAAGTATGTTAATTTCCTGAAACATATAAAGGTATTACTATATAGTATTCATACCATTTTTTGCTAAGTATCTATAGACAATTACATAGACAAGGTGACACTTATGTCAGACATTCTTTATTAAATTCAAATTACTGCAAATCTCCCATCAAGTTTACTACAAATCATGTCAGACGTATGCTTAGGTCCTGGTTGCAAAACCAGATCGAAAGATTTATCTCAAGGAGCCCGAGCTTAAGTAAGACATGTATATTTACCCCAGCATAACTGGCTACACCAGCTGCTGACTGCTGAGATCATTAGAATAACAGAAGAAAGCATATTATGTGGGAAGTGCTTCAAGTGGTACCACAAGCGAAGGCCATCGCAGTCTGAATTGTATGAACCTCTGGTATGAGCACTCAAGATGACCTGGCAAAGGACGCAGATGATGCTTACACTGATTTCATGTCATCCAACCAACTACCGCTAATCTCTGTTGAGAAATTATTTTATTGTGGCAATTTACATAAAAGATGTGTCATATGTGGAAAAGAAGGCACTGGGGTATGCACTGTACCCCAGCGTGTCAGGCCAAACTTGATATTTTTCCATTTTCTATGGTGTCCCCCTGATGCACGTGTTTGCAATGACAATGTAATTGGTGACTTTCTGAATCCTTCTTTGCCACTAGATCTGCAAACAAGGGAACCGTTAGCTCTTCATCTTCAAGAAAGAGCTAATCAGGTTATCAATGACCTTCTTGAACTAAGCCATTTCCTTTCTGCTGGTACTCCAACCAACACAGGCATAGACGTAGACCATCACAGAAATGTAGAATTCAAAGCATGGACTGGTTACACACTTGAACAAATGCAGCAAATGCATAGCATTTACTCCTCACCTATCAATAGAGGATCATGTTCCTTTACATTCCATGCTTTGTTTCTTTTCTGGGTTAAACTGAAGACCAATATTTCATGGTCTCAACTAGGTGTCGTATGTGGTCTGACAAAAAACAGAATGTGTCTCACACATTTTATAGTGTCTTAAAAGCCTTTAGCCAGACCATTGTGCCCTGTTTCCTTGGTCCAAGACACATTACCCGTGCGGACGCTAAGAGGCACAACACTGCCTTTACGAGATGTTTCTATGGGGAAAAAGTAACTGTAATCCTTGATGGTACCTATATTTATGTCCACAAAATGCTGACCACTCCCTTCAAAGATCCTCATACTGTGGGCAAAAGAAGCATTGTCTTTCCAGATGGTTATGTACTAGACACTATTGGGTCTTTTTATGGCAATGAAAATGATGCAAATATCTTGACAAAAATTCTTGAAACAGTAGACTACCTGACCTGATACGTGATTGTTGACCGGGGGTTTAGGGATGTGTTGGAGCTGCTGCGAGGTTCAGGGTTTTCTGTGTACGTGCCTTCCTATCTTCTGTCAGGTCAGACAGAGCATGATACTCTTACTGCCAACGAGGACCGTCATTGTGTTAGGTCAAGATGGATTGTGGAGAGCTAACATGGTCGACTGAAACAGTGGAAACTGTTCAGAGAGCAACATAGCTCAAACTACTTCCTAATTGTCATAGAGGAACTTGTTAAAGTAGATACTGCTTCCTTGAATGATGTACGTGGACCAATTTATGTGTCCACACCAGAGAGGGACTTGAGGGACCGTCGCTTTGCTGAGCGAATGCAATCCCGTTTGGCTCTGCCCAACACCTTGGCCTCAAGGGTTGCAGATGACTCCTGCTGGAGACTTTAAAGTTTGGGTCTAACAGCAAGATGAAAATCTTTTCCGAGGCCAAATCCAGTCAAGGCACAAATCAGAAAACAATGTTTGGATTGCGTTTGACACAAATGATCAAGATGACGCTGTCAAAAATTACTACTGTGTCTTTCCAGCGGGTAAGCGAACCGTTGGAATGTGTGCACATGTTGCGTGCATCTTGCATTTCTTGGGCCATGTTAAGCATCAAGATCAAACCAACCCAGTCCATGAAACACTCAAACAAGCAATCACTTGAGCAGTTTTGCTATACTAAAACGTAATGTAATGTACATCATACTGCAACTGTTCTATCTCTTATTAGCTTCTCAAAGTGCCACAAATTATGGATTGGAACTGACAAAGGCAAAACCCGTCACTATTACTATACATAATCTATCTAATAAAGTCTCTATATTGGCCTTAATCAAAACATTTGTACAAAGCTGCTAACTAAATCTTCAAATTGTGAAACTTGCACAAAAATATCTTTATTTCAACATATTTCATTTGTGTGACCTTGTACAGAAGTCAAGTTCAGCAATGTTAACCAAACTGATAAAAATTGACATGAACAACCACATTGTCAAATAGCCTACAAGACCTACAGATTTTTGGTTATTAAGCTTTAACTATTTAACGAAAATGAAAAAAATCAGTGTTTCTTGGTTTTTTTTTAAGCAAATATGTAAAATGACAAATTTACTAGTTTTCATTTTTTCCAAGAATATTCCTTTTGAAAGATATCACCTGTGGCTAACTTTTAAACAAGTATGAAAAATAGACTGGTCTCGGAGGTATGATAATTGAAGTGTCCTAAACAGTACTTTTATCAAAAGTAATGGCTTTTTAGATTAATTTTGGCTGCATTTGTCAACATAAAAGAAACTTTTCTCCTGAAATAGTGTGATATGTGGTATCAAAATGTTGGTTGGTACAATGTGCACACATTAACGACATAATTTTATTGGAAATGCTTCATAAAATTGCACAAGAGGGAATTACATAACAACTACTTTAACATCCACTAAGGTATTAGTGAAGGAGCTCCCATTTTGTAAGAAATCAATTCCTAGACTAACTTTTCTGTATTTAAGCTTCTGATACCCATATCCATTTATGGTTGCTATATTTTGAAATTCCAATTGGGAGCCGATGCTGATGTTAAATTCCCATATGTGTTGACTCCACCTTTCATGATATTTCACATTAAATAATATGAAAGAAATAATATAAAATAAATGATGTCTTTCAGAAAGATTATGCGATTAAGTGTCCTATGCACACACACAATGCTTCTCCAGTAAGAGATTTGAGTCTGTATATTTGTATTTTGTTTCATTTTTAAAAAGTATAATAACATAAAACAATTTATATTATAAAGTTGTTATTTTCTGTTTTTTTTTTCAAAGATATTCCAACAGTGATGGTTCCTGTCCAGAATGTAACAGCAACTGCTGGTGACAATGTGACGCTAGCCTGTATCGTGACTGGAACACCTAATGTGACTGATGTGTTCTGGCTGAGAATTGTCAATGGTGTCGAGGTCGAGACACTGGTGGTTGATGGTGTCCGTTACTCGGGCGTGACCCCAGGTGACCCTTCTCTAAGAATAATCAGCGTAGCGATATCAGACAGTGCTGTATATATCTGTAAAGCCAACAACAGTGTTGGAACCGGAAGTAGCAACCTCATCACTCTTGATATAGAAGGCGAGTAACTACCACTAAAAAGCGAGATTTTAAGTGATATAATTAATAGTAAATATAACAATTTAACTTTTTATATTTATATAAAAGGGTCCTTGTTATATCATACCACGTTGTCTCTCCTGTGATAGAATGCGAATGGATACCAACAAACAGAAGACACTGGTTATTTAAGATAAAGCAGTTGAGGTTGTGGTGATGAGAATGTCTGTTTTGAAGTATAAGTAAAGCGAAGGGTTCTTAAGGAATAACTCATTTAGAGTAAGCTGTAATTATGTTTCAGAGAAGGCAGGGTTGGGGGGTAGCAGTGAGTTGCAGTATGTTTGGGGAGGGGGTTATGTCAATGTTAAGATTCTGTTGCAACCATGCTATTTCTTTATTGTTTCTAAGCTGAACGCTTAAAATTATAGCTTCTTTTTAAAGGTGTTCCCATTGCTACAATTCCTAATACATTTGTATCTGGGGATCTCGGATTCAATGTGACTTTGAATTGTAACGTCACTGGAAACCCCCCGCCTGTTGATGTATACTGGCAGATGAAAGTCAACGAGACAGAGCTTAGAACGATATTGGTTGATGAATCCGACTACAGTGGAGTGACCCTGAATGATGCTTCTCTCATCATTATCACAGCTAGTTTAGACGACAGCGCCGTTTACATATGTAATGCAAACAATAGTTTAGGGACCGGAAGTAGTTTACCGATAACTCTTAACGTCTCAGCTATTGCTGGTAAGTCATTTTGGGTTTTTGTTACATACGTAACCACAGAACTATAAATCCAGTATTTATACACATTCTCAAACCTTCTAAAAATTGGGTATCGATGATTAAATTACCCATTTTTATAATGTTTCATACAGTGTATAACTACTGGACTTAAAGTGCTTATAAACTGACATCATACATCACACAAAATCCCGAGCCCGAACCCCTGTGAGAAAATGCTTCTCCATCGCCATAACTGCTTTACGGCCATGTCAAAAATGACAAAACGTGAAAAGTTAGATTTTTTCTTTTTCAAAATCACATAACTTTCTCCATTGAGGCAAGTGACTTTTCGATTGATGATATGATATAATTTTCCCATCAATGATAAAACTTTTCTATTGATAAAATTTTCCTGTTAAATATAACTTTTCCAGTGATGATATAATTTTCCAGTGTAATAAAACTTTTCGGTGATTGTAAAACTTTTCTAATGATGATATAACTTTTCAGCGATGATTTAACTTTTCTATTGATGATAAAACATTTCCAGTGATGATATCAATTTACATTTATATCTTTTCCTGTGATAACATAACTTTCCTAGTTTTAAAGATCTGGAGCGGTTAATTTCTAATTTCTACATTGAAATTCGTTTTTATTCGAGGCTGATTTTTCAAAGAATTTACCATAACAGCTCACAAAGGTCTTGTCTTAAAATAACGAAATTCATTGACATCGCTCATTGTATATACCCACCTAGGTGTCGTCGATGAAGCAGAAAAATTACTATTGTACTTTTTCAGGAATCTTCATAAAAATCTTTCTTTTGTTCATATATTTCCCCTAGGTTTATCAAATTCAAGTTTGGATAATGATAATGTTCATTTGATGGTATTTCCTTGTTTTTATAGTGGAATACTATGCAAGCCTGTCATTAAATGAAACATTTAATCCCGAGTTACTCAACACGAGCAGTCAAATGTTTAGAGATAAGGCAGAAGAGTTTTCTAATGTGGTAAGTAGAAATATTTAAAACCAAGGTGGGGTATTACAGTGAATCTCAACCCGAGGAGGAGATTCACATCTGTCTAACCCGAGACTTGGCTTTGCCTTGGGTTAGACAGTCATGAATTTCCTCTTCAGGTAGAGTGTTTCCTGTCCTAACCAGAGGCTTGGCTTTGCCTCAGGTTAGAAAAGCGTGCAACACCTCGAGTACTGAGTTCTCTGTCTTGATCTCCGAGGCTTGGCGTCGCCTCAGCTTAGACAATCATGAAACTTCACGTGTAAAAAGTTCTCTGTCCTAACCTGAAGCATGACATCGCCTCGGATTAGACAGTCTTGATTCTCCTCCTCGGCTAGATATGTATCTGTCCCGTTCTCACCCTTTATCTCCAACATGCTAGAAATATATGAATAACGAGACAAATAAATTCTGACAAATATAGAAACAGGTAAATGGCGACCGTTGTTTTTATCTTGACCGATATCTAATCTACATATACATTGTTTAATGTCAGTCGTATATGTGATAAACGAGGAGTCGGTGCAGGTTACTTATTAACTTTTTTTATTCTGACCGCCACACACATGTACCGCCATGTGTACTCCCGGGCGGAAAGCATGGCTTACAAGGGAGATCACTCTATGCTACCGTTCAAACCTAAGGCGCATTCGATTCACACTTACTCTTATAGCAGTAATGATAAATCATTGTCATGTCATTGTTTAAAACAGATTTGAATACATAATGATGTTACGGACAAAATGCTCTCCATACTTCGTTGATATGTTTGTTTTCTCAAAAGATTGTATTTTTGACGATAGTGACTTACAAAAGTTGAATATGCTTGAAAGTAAATGAAATGAATAGCTTTGACCCACTTTCAAGGGTATTGTTGTACAAAAGCGACAAGAATAAATTGGTTGTTGGTAACCTGTAGGAATATTATTTACCTGGCGGTTGTCGTAAAAGAAGCAAAAAACGTTTATCCTTTTTTGAACTTTTTCAGGGGTCTTCATGGTAATTTGTATTCGCGTTTAATCTTAGTTTCAACAATTTTGAGTTTGAAGATTCTGTGGACATCATTTTATTGTCTTTGTTTTGTATGAAAAACAAGAAGTTAAATGTTAATATAACATTTGTAACATTAGCATACTTTCAATGTTCAGATGACTCAACCATGTGAATGCATAGGGCAGAACTGCCCAGTACGTTCAAAACTGAAGAAAATAGGAAATACTGGCATGTCAACAAAATCAAATTCTGTGAAACTAGGGCAAATGTTGTACAAAAGACACACAAGTGAATATCACCTTTTCAAAACTAAAAGTAAGATATAGCATAGCCAGATAATTAAACTGCATCATACAGCTGTTTCCTCCTTTTAGGACTCGATATTGATGCTAAGGGCAGGCATTTTGAAGCCTAGGAGGCGACTAAGGAAAATCCAAAGTGATCAAAAGCAAAAGTCGAAATTAAGACGGGAAGGTGTAGCAGCCCCATAATTTAAAAAAAAAAACCGTTATTTTCATACGTCAGATAATTTCAGAATAATGAATTAAAACGTGGCAAGCACAAAATATTTACATCGAGAATGTTGATATAATACAAGGAGAATATGGTTATGTGTTCCGGGAGGGTAAGCATCTTCTGTTTCATTTTGACGCCCGGAGAATATTTATCTTGTTTAACTTTAATGATCACAGTTCGCTCACTAAAAAATGTAAGTTACCTTCTAATCTAAGGTAATGACATTGGTCTTTTTTGATAAAAGTGAATGCAATGTCAAAGAGATTAAGGGTATGATACATGACATTGCATTTTTAGTCCTTCTGTTTCTGAAGAATTTATTTGGAAAGCGATATTTTCTGCTTATTTATAAATGTGTTATCATTTCGTTCTTGTTGCCGTTTTCTTGTAGATGGACAGCACAGTTCTAAGTTCAATAAATGGCACACAGACGCAGGTGATAGGTTTCAGGTAGGTATAAGTGTCAAGGATTTTTCCCTATATAGCGATTTTCATGGAAGTTGTCAGAAACTAACAACTAAAGAATATTGATCTTATCAGGAAATAATTTATTTCGTTAGATACTAGTTAGTTTGCCTTGTAGTACTTTGCTTCTTTACCTTCTCATTTGGGAATGGTCGGCATGCTGAAGATAGGTTGAACTTGACTTAATGTTGATATAAAGTACCCTTCCAAAAGACATGGTCTGATTTCCATCATACTTTTTAAGGTTGACCATATATTCCTGTCTGTTGATGAAATGTTACCGTCCTTTCATCAATTTTGATATTTTGCTGACACGTGAATTTGTTTTGCTTTTGACATTTTGCTGACACGTGAATTTGTTTTGCTGTTAATTTACCATGCTTTCATTGATTTTGAAAAATTGCTGACGGACTTTTTCAGATATATCACGCATTCCGTTCTTTCGTTCATATTTTAATGGTTATGAAATTGAAAAGTTATTTTTATATTTTTAGTAATGGAAGCGTGATTGTCCAGTTTCTCACCTTGTTCATCAGTAATTTGTTGACTACAACAGTGATTGATGAGAGTATAATCAGGACCGTGATTAGAGAGTCTCTGCAGACCAACAGAAATCAGTCAAAGGATTCAACAATCTTATCGATAATTCCAGAATCTGTCGAAGGAATCATACTAAGTACTATTAAGTGTTACATAAGTCAAACAATTGGTAATTGCACAGAAAAAGATAGTAAAAGAGTAAAGAGTAAAAAATGTTGTATTGCTGTCTGTATATTCCATGGAAAGCTTTTTATCAATCAAACAACCACCAAAACACTGGTAATTATGTACAAAAGAGCAGCATGTGAGGGAATGTAACAAATGGAGTTAAATAACTTTATATCAATGCGTTTAATTGTAATACCGTATTCATAGATCACTTGAAACTCACATTATTGTACGTTTTCGTTGTATTTCAGTCTTTAATATGTTTTCGAATATGAATGATATTCTCCCCTGAAAATCATTCGTCCATATATATATTTTTGATAAGCTGCCTGTCCGTCAGATGTCCGTACATAAATTGTCGATACATTTGATACATCAGTGTATATAACACAGGCTATTTGTTTAATTATCATTTTATATACATTCTACAAAATATATCAAATAATATTAACCATCCTTATTGACACGAATGGGAGCACACGTGGGGAGTTCCTTGGGGAGAAAATCGTAGTACCCAGGGAAAACGCATATGTTCCTGCCAGAGACCCTGAATCAAAATTGTGAAACGCGCGCCGGCGAGTGCCTGATCATTGATCATTGTGCCTCCCTTTATTGTTCATTTTGTGTCGGTCATTTTCTGTTATCTATTGAATGACTTCCATTAATCTATTTGGTAATACCGTGTAATTTGTTGAAAAGTTTCCCTGGTCTTCGAAAATGCAATCGATGTATTTATTTTATCACTAATCTCCGGTTTTCCCATAACATCCAATCGGTAAATCCGCAGTTAAGTATTTCATTACTACCGGTGATACGCCCATAAATGCCTATCAACGTTTGAATTATAGTCAGTCTGAAGCTTCTCAATCATATTAAGAATCATATAAATGATTTGAAAGAAAGACAGCTTTTGACTCGCGCCCTCTCCGGTTCTCGAACTCATGATCAACTGCACCAAATCTCCTCATCGATAAATTAACATAATATGAATCATATACAGTAATGTAGTTGATCTGGAAGTTCCAACTGTGAATTACCTGCCGTAATTGTCCCTGAGTTTAATACACAATGTATACATGCATGTATATAATTGCATATTATACATTTGAAAAAAAACCAGCACCAATGTTATTCAAATTGTTTTAAGAAAGTTATTTCATATCGACAGAGAAAGATAACTGTGCTAGGAGCCCCTGCTTCAACAATGGTACATGTATAGATCAGTTGGGAGACTTCGACTGTCAATGTCTACCCGGATACGGAGGCAAACAATGTACAGAAGGTAAGACAGAGTAGATATCTAAATACACAGAAAATCCTGGTTTTTCATCCTATTTCAGAAATATAAACAAAATATCCTTTTATGAACGCTTGAACAAGTATACTGTGTTTCTTTGTGTTTTGATTGAAGACCTTGACGTTTGTGCCCCGGATTCTTGTTTTAACGGAGGAACATGTCAGGAGGGTGTAGCGGATGATTTTTCCTGCCTATGCGGTGAAGGAATTACAGGAAATAACTGTGGTCAGTTTCAACCATTCGAATTTTTATCACATTTATTTAGTAATGTTAAGGGCAAATCGTATAGAGTATGTAACATACTTTAACATCCTCTGACTTTTGAAAACTTGATAGAGAAATATAACACCATACTGACACAATGCATTTCTTTTCAAATCAAACTAGAGGGAAACATCGTTGTCATTAGCAACATTAACAGCCGTGAGTCATGTGATCGCAATACTGATATATTTGACGTCATTAATTACAGCTGATCTGTTGTCTACAGGATGATAACATTATCAATACAATACCTTATAGTCTGACCTCAGGATCTTAGTGACGTCACATATATGTATAGTCTCAAATAAGTATAATTGCTTGATCTTAATAGTCCCATTACAAAATACAGTATACTGACATTTCATAATTTGACAATTTCTAATAATAGAGTAAAATTTACAGATACCACATATCATAATAGTCTTATCATATTCTTATAAAAGAATAAAGTATAGCGACATTATATATAGTAATATCTCATAATAATCGGAACAAAGTAAAAAACATAGCGATAATACATATCTTAATAGTCTGATCACAAGAAGAAATAAAGCGATAATACATATTTTAATAGCTTGATCACAAGATAAAATATAGCAACATTACATATCTTAATTGTCTGATAACAAGATACAATATAGCAACATTACATATCTTAATTGTCTGATAACAAGACAAAATATAGCAACATTACATATCTTAATTGACTCAAAATATGACAAAATATAGCAACATTACATATCTTAATTGTCTCAAAATATGATAAAATTTAGCAACATTACATATCTTAATTGTCTGAAAACAAGATACTATATAGCAACATTACATATCTTAATTGTCGGAAAATAAGATACAATATAGCAACATTACATATCTTAATTGTCTGAAAATATGATAAAATATAGCACATTACATATCTTAATTGTCGGAAAATAAGATACAATATAGCAACATTACATATCTTAATTGTCTGATAACAGGACAAAATAAAGCAACATTCATATCTTAATTGTCTGATAACAAGACAAAATATAGCAACATTACATATCTTAATTGTCTGAAAACAGGACAAAATATAGCAACATTACATATCTTAATTGTCTGATAACAAGATACAATATAGCAACATTACATATCTTAATTGTTTGATCACAAGATACAATATAGCAACATTACATATCTTAATTGTCTGAAAACAAGATACAATATAGCAACATTACATATTTTAACTGTCTGAAAACAGGACAAAATATAGCAACATTACATATCTTAATTGTCTGATAACAAGATACAATATAGCAACATTACATATCTTAATTGTCTGAAAATATGATAAAATATAACAACATTACATATCTTAATTGTCTGAAAACAGGACAAAATATAGCAACATTACATATCTAAATTATCTGATAACAAGACAAAATAAAGGAACATTACATATCTTAATTGTCTGAAAATATGATAAAATATAACAACATTACATATCTTGATAGTTTGATCACAAGATACAATATAGCAACATTACATATCTTAATTGTCTGATAACAAGATACAATATAGCAACAAGATACAATATAGCAACATTACATATTTTAATTGTCTGAAAACATAGACAAAATATAACAACATTACATATCTTAATTGTCTGATAACAAGATACAATATAGCAACATTACATATCTTAATTGTCTGAAAATATGATAAAATATAACAACATTACATATCTTAATTGTCTGAAAACAAGATACAATATAGCAACATTACATATCTTAATTGTCTGATAACAAGACAAAATAAAGCAACATTACATATCTTAATTGTCTGAAAATATGATAAAATATAACAACATTACATATCTTAATTGTCTGAAAACAAGATACAATATAGCAACATTACATATTTTAATTGTCTGAAAACTTGACAAAATATAACAACATTACATATCTTAATTGTCTGATAACAAGATACAATATAGCAACATTACATATCTTAATTGTCTGAAAATATGATAAAATATAACAACATTACATATCTTAATAGTTTGATCACAAGAAAATATAGCAACATTACATATCTTAATTGTCTGAAAATATGATAAAATATAACAACATTACATATCTTAATTGTCTGAAAACAAGACAAAATATAGCAACATTACATATCTTAATTGTCTGAAAATATGATAAAATATAACAACATTACATATCTTAATAGTTTGATCACAAGACAAAATATAGCAACATTACATATCTTAATTGTTTGATAACAAGACAAAATAAAGCAACATTACATATCTTAATTGTCTGAAAATATGATAAAATATAACAACATTACATATCTTAATAGTTTGATCACAAGATACAATATAGCAACATTACATATCTTAATTGTCAAAATGAAAATATGATAAAATATAACAACATTACATATCTTAATTGTCTGAAAACAGGACAAAATATAGCAACATTACATATCTAAATTATCTGATAACAAGACAAAATAAAGGAACATTACATATCTTAATTGTCTGAAAATATGATAAAATATAACAACATTACATATCTTGATAGTTTGATCACAAGATACAATATAGCAACATTACATATCTTAATTGTCTGATAACAAGATACAACATAGCAACATTACATATTTTAATTGTCTGAAAACAGGACAAAATATAACAACATTACATATCTTAATTGTCTGATAACAAGATACAATATAGCAACATTACATATATCTGAAAATTAATTGAAAACAAGATACAATATCTGAAAATATGATAAAATATAACAACATTACATATCTTAATTGTCTGATAACAAGATACAATATAGCAACATTACATATCTTAATTGTCTGAAAATATGATAAAATATAACAACATTACATATCTTGATAGTTTGATAACAAGATACAATATAGCAACATTACATATCTTAATTGTCTGATAACAAGACAAAATAAAGCAACATTACATATCTTAATTGTCTGAAAATATGATAAAATATAACAACATTACATATCTTAATTGTCTGAAAACAAGATACAATATAGCAACATTACATATTTTAATTGTCTGAAAACTTGACAAAATATAACAACATTACATATCTTAATTGTCTGATAACAAGATACAATATAGCAACATTACATATCTTAATTGTCTGAAAATATGATAAAATATAACAACATTACATATCTTAATAGTTTGATCACAAGATAAAATATAGCAACATTACATATCTTAATTGTCTGATAACAAGACAAAATATAGCAACATTACATATCTTAGTTGTATGAAAACAAGATACAATATAGCAACATTACATATCTTAATTGTCTGAAAACAAGATACAATATAGCAACATTACATATCTTAATTGTCTGAAAATATGATAAAATATAACAACATTACATATCTTAATTGTCTGAAAACAGGACAAAATATAGCAACATTACATATCTAAATTATCTGATAACAAGACAAAATAAAGGAACATTACATATCTTAATTGTCTGAAAATATGATAAAATATAACAACATTACATATCTTAATAGTTTGATCACAAGATACAATATAGCAACATTACATATCTTAATTGTTTGATAACAAGACAAAATAAAGCAACATTACATATCTTAATTGTCTGAAAATATGATAAAATATAACAACATTACATATCTTGATAGTTTGATCACAAGATACAATATAGCAACATTACATATCTTAATTGTCTGATAACAAGACAAAATATAGCAACATTACATATCTTAATTGTCTGAAAACAAGATACAATATAGCAACATTACATATCTGAATTGTCTGAAAACAGGACAAAATATAGCAACATTACATATCTAAATTATCTGATAACAAGACAAAATAAAGCAACATTACATATCTTAATTATCTGAAAATATGATAAAATATAACAACATTACATATCTTAATAGTTTGATCACATAGATACAATATAGCAACATTACATATCTTAATTGTCTGAAAATATGATAACAAGACAAAATAATAGCAACATTACATATCTTAATTGTCTGAAAATATGATAAAATATAAGCAACATTACATACTTAATTATCTGAAAATTGATAGTTTGATCACAAGATACAATATAGCAACATTACATATCTTAATTGTCTGATAACAAGATACAATATAGCAACATTACATATCTTAATTGTCTGAAAACAAGATACAATATAGCAACATTACATATCTTAATTGTCTGAAAACAGGACAAAATATAGCAACATTACATATCTTAATTGTCTGAAAACAAGATACAATATAGCAACATTACATATCTTAATTGTCTGAAAATAGGATAAAATATAACAACATTACATATCTTAATTGTCTGAAAACAAGATACAATATAGCAACATTACATATCTTAATTGTGATATAACAAGATACCATATAGCAAACTTTAATATCTTAATTGTCTGAAAACAGGACAAAATATAGCAACATTACATATCTTAATTGTCTGAAAACAAGATACAATATAGCAACATTACATATCTTAATTGTCTGATAACAAGATACAATATAGCAACATTACATATCTTAATTGTCTGAAAACAAGATACAATATAGCAACATTACATATCTTAATTTTCTGATAACAAGATACAATATAGCAACATTACATATCTTAATTGTCTGAAAATAAGATAAAATATAGCAACATTACATATCTTAATTGTATGATAACAAGATACAATATGGCAACATTACATATCTTAATTGTCTGAAAACAAGATACAATATAGCAACATTACATATCTTAATTGTCTGAAAATATGATAAAATATAACAACATTACATATCTTAATAGTTTGATCACAAGATGAAATATAGCCACATTACATATCTGAATAGGATAAAATTGATGGCAGTTGTTTGTCAGAGTCATATGATTTCATGTGTCATAACAAAGTTATGATAGAATATAGAATCACGAGATTCAAAGAAATACGGGACTGGTGCTCATCCTATCCTAGGGTTCAACATTTTTTGTGACCACATCAGATTTTGTTCGATCTTCTCCAAGGTTTCAACAGGTCTTTTAGTCACTGACGACTTAAAGGGGAACACAGCTGTTATTGGGAACAATTTTAAATTATCATTTAGCTCAAGGACATATAGGGAAATATTAGGCCTTGTTTGGCTCTTAGTATTAAATAGTAAATTTAGAATTGAATGATGATATTCTCTTGTGTCTTTTGTACAATCACCTTTCCAAAAAAGTTATGTGATTGTCCGTCTTTATTCACAGAGTCACGTTTTTGTACCGACGATTCGTGCTTCAATGGAGGAACATGCATGCCAGGAAATAGTACGGTCGATGGTTACTGCTTATGTGACAGCCAGCACAAGGGAATCAACTGTGAAATAGGTTAGTTTTGTTGTTAACATCAATGTGACATAGATTAGTTGAATAAATCAATGAGATTACCGTGAAATAGGAATCTGAAAGTTTTTAATATCAAGAAAAATGTTAAAATATATATTCATTTTTGGAGTAGTTATTTAGTTTTAAAATTATCCTAGCTTCAATTTGTATCCAAGAATTTCGTTCATTTGATCAGAATATACACATATACTTGGCGGGCGTTTGAAATCTTAGTAAAACAAGTTTATTTTTAAGTTTAGTGCACTTTTCTATCTGTACTTTAGCATTTGTTTCTGTCAATTTTGTTTTAACCTTCGTCGATACTTGCAGTAAAACAATTTAGGCCTTTATCCTCGCTTACGAGTCCTAGAAGGACGAAACATCCGTGTGATGTAGCATTACTTACGAGTCCTAGAAGGATGAAACATCTGTGTCCATACGATTATTTTTGCTTGAAGGTTCTTGGTCACAAGTCTGACTCTATGTGGTCGAGTATTGTCGCTATGAGTACAAACGCGAGAGCTGACAGCACCCGCAAAGACTCTTATATTTGTATAAAGGTTTTCATCCCAGTACCGTAAACCTGTGAGACTACCACTTTTAATCATGTACAAATCAATCTGACCATCAAAATTAACCCTAACCCAGCAGCCTGCACACCTCTCATGCATGGTGCATGCATTGATGATAAAACAATGGCCAAGGAGTGGCAAGCTTGATTAATTTTAATGGCAGAAATAAAATCACATTTTTGTTATGATCCTTAATAGTTTGTGTCCAATATATATTGACCAATTATTTATTAAGAATCCATTTACGGACATCAGACAAACAGGCATTCTTGGCCCCCATCGGCTGTTAAGCTTATCACTGTACTGTACTAACATAAAGTGTTAATACAAAGACAAAAGGCATACAAGTTAATAGCACCTTTTGGTACAAAAAAGATATAGTAGAGCTGAACAATAAAGCTGCATCATACAGCTATTTCATCTATCTAGGACTTGTCAGTGATGCTAAGGGCCTAAATTGTGAAAATTGATTAAGAAAAACCAAAATGATCGAAGGAAAAGTTTAAATCTAGGTGGGCAGACGCAATATCATTTCTAAACATCATCCTATGAAGTCCATTCAAGTGTATGCAAACTATTTTCAATTGGAAATATGTTTATGCAGAGTTCTCGTAGCGTTTTCACAGTATTCATTTGACTTTGTGTTCAAGATACAAGTGTAAATGTGTACAAGATTATACACTGATATAGTTTGACACGAACACAAATGTTAAGGAAATGAAGTGCTGAATGATATGGTAAATTGTGTTTGTCCAATTTTCCTTACATGAGTTTGTGGAGTCGATTTTTATCAAAATGGTGGAAAATATAATCGGGACATTACATAATGTGAATGTGTGGGAAAATACACAGGAACCCTCTGTAAACTTGGTATGGCACATGTTTTCTATTATATAGATAAATATATGTCTAATTATTTATTTTTCTTTACAGCCGTGACAGCTATTAGAACAACAACAACGACTACGTCTACCACCCCAGCAACTACAACCCAAACTACTACAACACCAACAACTACAACTACCCCTGAACCTACGACAACTACAACTCCAACAACTACAACTACTCCAATGACAACTACAACTCCAACAAGTACTACCTCAGAACCAACCACAACTACAACTTCAACAACTTCTACCCCAGAACCTACGACAACTACAACCTCAACAACTACTTCCCCAGAACTTACGATAACTACAACTCCATCAACTACTACCCCAGAACCAACGACAACTACAACTCCAACAACTACTACCCAAGAACCAACGACAACTACAACTCCAACAACTACTACCCAGGAACCAACGACAACTTCAACTCAAACAACTACTACCCCTGAACCTACAACTACAACTCCAACAACTACAACTACTCCAATGACAACTACAACTCCAACAAGTACTACCTCAGAACCAACCACAACTACAACTTCAACAACTTCTACCCCAGAACCTACGACAACTACAACCTTAACAACTACTTCCCCAGAACCTACGATAACTACAACTCCATCAACTACTACCCAGGAACCAACCACAACTACAACTCCAACAAGTACTACCTCAGAACCTACAACAACTACAACTTCAACAACAACTACCCCAGAACCAACGACAACTACAACTCCAACAACTACTGCCTCAGAACCTACAACAACTACAACTCCAACAACTACTACCCCAGAACCTACGACAACTACAACTCCAACAACTACTACCTCAGAACCTACAACAACTACAACTTCAACAACTACTTCCCCAGAACCAACGACAACTACAACTCCATCAACTACTACCCAAGAACCAACGACAACTACAACTCCATCAACTACTACCCAGGAACCAACGACAACTACAACTCCAACAACTACTTCCCCAGAACCAACGACAACTACAACTCCATCAACTACTACCCCAGAACCTACGACAACTACAACTCCAACAACTACTACCCAGGAACCAACGACAACTACAACTCAAACAACTACTACCCCTGAACCTACAACTACAATTCCAACAACTACAACTACTCCAATGACAACTACAACTCCAACAAGTACTACCTCAGAACCAACCACAACTACAACTTCAACAACAACTACCCCAGAACCTACGACAACTACACTCCACAACTACCAGAACCAAGACAACTACAACTCCAACAACTACTACCCCAGAACCGACGACAACTACAACTCCAACAACTACTACCCAGGAACCAACGACAACTTCAACTCAAACAACTACTACCCAGGAACCAACAACAACTACAACTTCAACAACTTCTACCCCAGAACCTACGACAACTACAACCTCAACAACTACTTCCCCAGAACTTACGATAACTACAACTCCATCAACTACTACAACCAACGACAACTACAACTCCAACAACTACTACCCAAGAACCAACGACAACTACAACTCCAACAACTACTACCCAGGAACCAACGACAACTTCAACTCAAACAACTACTACCCCTGAACCTACAACTACAACTCCAACAACTACAACTACTCCAATGACAACTACAACTCCAACAAGTACTACCTCAGAACCAACCACAACTACAACTTCAACAACTTCTACCCCAGAACCTACGACAACTACAACCTTAACAACTACTTCCCCAGAACCTACGATAACTACAACTCCATCAACTACTACCCAGGAACCAACCACAACTACAACTCCAACAAGTACTACCTCAGAACCTACAACAACTACAACTTCAACAACAACTACCCCAGAACCAACGACAACTACAACTCCAACAACTACTGCCTCAGAACCTACAACAACTACAACTCCAACAACTACTACCCCAGAACCTACGACAACTACAACTCCAACAACTACTACCTCAGAACCTACAACAACTACAACTCCAACAACTACTTCCCCAGAACCAACGACAACTACAACTCCATCAACTACTACCCAAGAACCAACGACAACTACAACTCCATCAACTACTACCCAGGAACCAACGACAACTACAACTCCAACAACTACTTCCCCAGAACCAACGACAACTACAACTCCATCAACTACTACCCCAGAACCTACGACAACTACAACTCCAACAACTACTACCCAGGAACCAACGACAACTACAACTCAAACAACTACTACCCCTGAACCTACAACTACAATTCCAACAACTACAACTACTCCAATGACAACTACAACTCCAACAAGTACTACCTCAGAACCAACCACAACTACAACTTCAACAACAACTACCCCAGAACCTACGACAACTACAACTCCATCAACTACTGCCCCAGAACCAACGACAACTACAACTCCAACAACTACTACCCCAGAACCGACGACAACTACAACTCCAACAACTACTACCCAGGAACCAACGACAACTTCAACTCAAACAACTACTACCCAGGAACCAACAACAACTACAATTCCAAGAACTACAACTACTCCAATGACAACTACAACTCCAACAAGTACTACCTCAGAACCAACCACAACTACAACTTCAACAACAACTACCCCAGAACCTACGACAACTACAACTCCATCAACTACTACCCCAGAACCAACGACAACTACAACTCCAACAACTACTACCCAGGAACCAACGACAACTACAACTCCAACAACTACTACCCAGGAACCAACGACAACTACAATTCCAACAACTACTAGCTCAGTTACCACGACGCCGAAAGGTAAGAATTTATACTATCTGATTGCTCTAATGAAATAAATGGTTGTTGCAAGTAAAATGATTTTCCATGTGGGATTGGGCGTATGGTTTTTTTTATTAATTAATAATAAGTAATATTACATATCTAAATAGTTTGATCACAAGATGAAATATAGCGACATCACATATCTTAATAGTTTGATCACAAGATGAAATATGGCGACATCACATATCTTGATTGTCTGAAAAACAAGATAAAATTAGCGACATTACATATCTTATAGCCTGAGCAAAAGTTGAAATATAGCGATAGATATTTCTGGTTTTTTTTTGGGGGGTTTTTTTCATATGGTTGATAGTTATTTCTGGTTTTTTTTTTGTTTTTTTTTTTTTTTTTTTTGTTTTTTGTTTTTTGTATATGATTGATAGCTTTTCTGTTTATTTAGTATATGAATTAAAGGTTTTTTGTTATATGATAAAAAGTATGATAATATATCTGTTATAAGTAATTAATTGAAATACGTAATATCTGTAATTGTAAACATTCGCTCTGCTGCTGTTATCTCCCAGGTCCTACTTTTGATATGTAGTTTTTCAAACTCCCCTGATTTCATCAAATTTAATCATATAGGCCATACTGACCTGATCTCATCATATAAAAATATTCGAAACCACTTCTCTCTTGTCAATTTTGAAAATTTGTAAATTAATTTTTTTATCTTATCATAGATTGGAAGGGCCATATTAATGGAACATTAGACTATTAGAAGTTGGTGACACTGCATATGATCTTTCAATGTGATACTTAAACTTTTCTTCTAGACCCAACCATGTCTTGTTCCTTTGATATACTGGATGATGTTTGTGGGTATATAAAAACTGGGCCTCCCAATGCCTGGCAGCAAGTTCACAGGAATGGAAGTAACCCAGCTGCAGGTCAGTATAGATTTATTTCATGGCGATTTTTTTTAGCTCACCAGGCCTGAACGGTCTCAAGTCTTGTTGCTGTGTCTGTCATCTGTCCTGCGTCACTTTTCCACAATAAACAACTACTCGATAACGGATAGACCCTGAGTGCTGATATTCGGCTTGTTATACATGAAAATTTTCAAACAAATTCTTCTCAGTAACCAAAATCCCAGGATACTGATATTTGGCCTGTAGCTTGCTGAGATGGGGGATAATAGATTTCTTCAAATGATTGACCTTGACCTCCATTCAAGGTCACAGGTTCACATCCATGAAAATTATCAATCCAATTCTTCTCAGCAACCGTAATCCCAGGATATTTGGCTTGTAGCTTACTGGGATGAAGGACTACCAAGTTAGTTCAAATGAATGACCTTGACCCCTTTCAATATCATATGGGTCAAACGCATTAACATATTTGAAGAACATCTTTTTCCATAATCGAAAGGCCTAGGGTCATGATATTAGGCCAGTAGAATCCTGAAAATAATCCTTATCATATTGGTTCATACGAAAGACATTGACCTTCATTTAAGGTCACAGGGGTCAAATGTGTTAAAATATTGAAGGAACTTCTTCTCAATAACCAAAAGGGTCAGAGTACTTATATTTGGCCTGTAGCTTGCTGGGATGAAGGGATACAAAGTGTGTTCAAATGAATGACCTTAATTGACTTAATCTGAGAAAATGCTTTTTCAAGTTTGAGACAGCTAATTTATATGAATTAACAATATTCATATTCATTTTTGACATGGAAACTTGCCGCAGAATCTTCTTTTTCAAAACTGATATCCAATGACTTTGTTCATCTTTCTTTTAACAGTTTTGAGGAAATACTGACCCCTGTCCAAAATTGAAATACTAACCTTTTGGCTTTACCGCTTATGGAAATCCATGCTTCAGTTCATTGAAAAATTGTCTTGGCTGCAAAATGTAAAAACAAAATTCTACTATTTCAATTTTGATACTATATGATTTATTTTATTTTGCAATATTATTGATACATTTTTACCATCATCATATTGTAAAATTGATTCTTGTTATTATACAGTACACACATGGTAATGTCCACAGTGGTTTTAATACTTTTTTCAGTTGAACAATGGCCCTGTCATACTCCTCTGATTACGACATTAAATGGCTTGTAGCACAAGCCCTATTGACCTTTTGACCCATTTCATGGGAAGTCACTAGGGTGCTACAAATACCACCCGCTTTTATTATGCTCCCCAAAAGGAGAGCACATAATCGCCGCTTTGTCAATATGTCCTTCCGTCTAGCCTCTGTCTGTCCATCATAATCTTGTCCGGAGCATAACAAAAAAACCATGAGATGTATCAATATAAAACTACATTGGTAGGACAGGGGCTGTGCACAATAACTATCAGACTATATTGCAAAAATGTTCATAGTTAAATATTGTACGGAGCATTACACTAAAGTTATAAGATGTATCAACATGAAGCTGTAAAGATAAGTAGATCTTTGTAGGGAGAAATGCAGTGCACAAGAACAATCACATTCTGTTGCATAATTTAGGAGTTACTGCCGTTTGTTATTTTTCATAGTTAAATTTTGTCTGGAGCATTGCTTTAAATCTATAAGAGGTGTTAACATGATAGATAGGTCTCAACAAGTAGGAGGGCAGTGCAAAAGAATCATAATTCTCTTATTACCCTTTGTTATTTTTTCCTACTTAATTATTTCCAATAAGGGAGCAAAACCCGTCCCTAACAGCCCTTGTTTAATTTGGTACATGGACACAATTCCAATGTTCTTGAAAGAGATCCTTTTTGAGAAAAAACACATATCATTTAAAACAGTTTTTAACCTTTTGCACAATTTAATACACCTTGTCTGAAGGTCCGCCCGTTAAACCATTGTTTTTACAAAATTCTATTGTCATGGATGACTAAGTTGATTTTGACGAGGTTTGGTCAAAGCATTCTTATGGTAACTGTAACTTATTTTGTATTAATAGTATGTCCCTGCTTCCCAGGGCCTAAGGGGTAGGATCCAAAAGGGGGGATTTTGCTAGTTCTTTAAAATCCTACTTCTCATGTAGGAATGATTGTATTTTATCCAAAATTGATCAAAGACACCTTTGGGTGAAGGGAAATCGATTTTGCATAAATGGTGGATCTCGGGCCCCCTAGGCGGGAGGGTAGGTGTCCAATAGGGGAAATACAGCAATTTAAAAAAGAAAATCCTACTCCTTGTGTAGGAATGATTTGATTTTACACAAGTTTGGTCAATAGCATCTTTAGGTGAAGAGAAATAAATGTTGTATTAATGGTGGATTTTGACCCCCTGAAGCAAGAGGGATGGTGCCGAATAGGGGAAATAGAGTAAATTTTAAAAAAAAATTACTCCTCCTGTAGGAATGATTGGACAGAGGCCTCTTTTGGTGAAGGGAAATAAACCCTGAAGGGTATGGGCCAACAGGAGAAAAAGGGAATTTTGTCCAAACTTTGTCTGAATCCTGTATAGATGTCAGTTTTGTGTAAACAGTGGATCTCAGCCCCTTGGGGCAGGAGAGGCAGGACTCAGATAAAAATATACCTTAAAGCAGCGTCTGAAGATAAAGAGATATCAATTGATCACTAAAGAGATGCCCAATAGGTAAAGTGGAGTAAATTCTTTGAAATCATACTCCTTATGTAGGTATGATTGAAACAAAGAATCATGTACAGATGAAAATATACACAACATAGAGTTTTGTGCAAATGATACCTACAGAAACATGTACCCACCCCATACTAAAATATACACAACAAGGGAAATAATTTCTGGGTCATAGACCATCGAATATGTACAACATTGCTGGGGAAAATGGCAAATTACAGAAGAAGAATCACAGTTCCTATCTCCTCCGATACAATCAACAAGTACTGGAGTTATACACAAGATAGACCTAACCTACAGAAACATGTCAGATAAAAATATACACAACGTAGACCTTACCTACAGAAAAATGTCAGATAAAAATATACACAACATAGACCTTACCTACAGTAACATGTCAGATAAAAATATACACAACGTAGACCTTACCTACAGAAACATGTCAGATAAAAATATACACAACGTAGACCTTACCTACAGAAACATGTCAGATAAATATATACACAATATAGACCATACCTACAGAAACATGTCAGATAAAAATATACACAACATAGACCTTACCTACAGAAACACGTAGACCATACCTAATAAAAATATACACAATAGATACACAACATAGACCTTACCTACAGAAACATGTCAGAAACATGTCAGATAAAAATATACACAACAAAGACCCTAGCCCTAATCTTTTTGAAAATGTATCTTTTGATATGAAATTCAATAAAAAGAGTTTTGATTATTTCTAATTATTTTCATAATTATGTTAGCTCTCTTCTGGTACTCCAAGATAGATTTGAAAAAAAAAATGCCTAACAGGTTGCCATCTTGAATTTTTCTATTGACAGTTTTTTTTTTTTACAAAATACCTGATCAATATTAAAATGCAGTTGGAGGTTTCACTTAGTCCTCATTCGGTTTTCTTTTTAAATTTCATTAGTGAATTTAATAAAGGATAAAAAATAAAAGGTGAAAAGGGAACAGACAAGGTATGGTTCAATTTATGAATAAAAATTTAAAAAGAAATGATGATCCAATGGTGGAAATCAGGATATTTTTAAGAGCTACATCTGAATCCATGTAACATTTTTAATTGATATGTACTCATGTACCCCCACCCCCTTTCTCTCGTCCTCCTTATTGACTTTACAAATTAAATTAATTCACTTTTTTCATACAGGATACTATTTGTATGCAGAGTCCTCCTCTAGGAATGCAATTAACTTGATTTCTCCAAAGAAGGCAGTAAGTGGAGGTTGTGTTTCGTTTTACTACAACATGGAAGAAGGAATCGCTGCAGAACTCCAGGTGTTCATATCCGAAAATGGCGCAGATAGCCTTGTGATGATTGACAATGGTGAAATGATCATGAAAGATCAATGGTTGTTCTCTCGGTTCCCATTGCCAGCTTCAAATAATGACAGAAATGTTAGCATACGATTCCAATTCACAGGGGACAAGATTAAGTTTTTTAATGGTAGCATAGCCATCGATGATGTAATGTACAGTAACGAAACATGTGACCCAGTAGGTGAGTACTTGCTCTTCGTCTTATTGTTTCAAATTACATCTCGGTATCATCTATAGTTTAGCTGTACATATTTCCAACATACTTCCTTTATGATTACCAGTAAGACAACATTTTCATTTTGCTGCTTTTTCTTATGATCGTGACTTTATCTTTATGCTCCAGGGAGCATATAGTTGCAACATTGTCCGTCTGTCCTTTTGTGTCTGGAGCATCATTGTGCCAACGTTAAGCAAGGTTCATGGAACTTGGTGTTAACATTGGTCATGCTACGGTAATGTGCAGTGTTTCAAATGTATGGCCCTTGTCTCCTTTATTACAGCGTTATTGCCCTTTCTTAAAATCTTATGTCCATTTAAACTAGGATAATGAAACTTGGTATCATACTAAAGTGATGGGCAGTGTACCAAATTATTCAGGAGTTGTAATACTTTAATTAATGAATTATTGCCCTTTGTTAACATTTTGTGTTGAAAGCATCAGTTTAAACTTGCTTGCATTTAAGCTAGGATAACGAAACATTGTTAATCATACAAAGATGATGTGCAATGTTACAGACTTTGAGGCCCTGGATCCCTTGTTTGGAGTATAACTTCGTTTGCAATGAAGCTAGGATAATGAAACTTGGTGTATACGTTTATTATAATATGATGATGTGCAGTGTAAAAATTTTGAGGCCCTGGATCCCTTAATTACAGTTTTTGCCTTTTGTTGAAAATTTTTCTTCTGGAGCATTACTAAAAATTTTAGTATAATGATATTTATAGTATGCATTGAGCATGCAGTGTACAGTGTACCAAATTCAGTGTCAGAACCTCTTATTTCCAACATTGTTGTCCTTCCTTATTTTTATCCCCAATAAATTCTTTTTAGGAAAACATTCATTAGTTTCACTGATACTCTTGTCAATCTACTTCCTCTCTTTGTAATTATGAGAATATTTCACAACTCACCTTGAGGATCATGACTATATTTTGAGTTTACTTTAAACCCTTGTGATGTTGACAATATTTTCACTACTCGCCTTTAATATCATGACTTTATTTTGAGTTTACTTTTAACCCTTGTGATTTTGAAAATATTTTCACTAATCACCTTTGATATCATGACTTCTTTTTGAGTTTACTTTAAACTCTTGGGATTTTGACAATATTTCCACTACTCGCCTTTAATATCATGACTTTATTTTGAGTTTACTTTTAACCCTTGTGATTATGACAATATTTTCACTACACACCTTGAGGTTCATGGGTCTGTCTCCAATCTCGGTCAATTTTATACAATATTATAGAGCCTCTTATTAGATTTGATACATATTCACCTAATTTTGTCATAGCATCAAGTTCTACACCTGAAATGTTGCCCAATACGGCAAATTAAAAAATAAATTCTTTAAAATTTGCTCCTCCTAACTAGTTCTGTCCACATTTAGCCAGAAACATATTCATGTGATGGAGAATCAATTTTGTATAAAGGATGGGCGTCAGTCTCCTGGGGAAGAAGGGGTGGGGCCCAATATGGGAAATTGTGCAATAAATTTTGTATAAAGAGTGGGTTCGGTCCCTTTTTTTGTTGAAGGGGTTGAACCCAATAAAGGAAAGAGATTAAATTCTTTAAAATCCTACTCCTCTTGCAGCATTGATTGGGTTTTGCACAGATTTATTTTTTGGTGAAAGGAGAATAAAAAGTTTCATATATAATGGATCTCAGCCCTCTGAGACTGGAGAGATTGGGCCTAATAGGGGAAATAAAGCAAATTATTGAAAATTCGACTTCGCCTGTAGGAATGATTGGATTTTGACTAAATTTTTGTCTGAAACATTCGTGGTTGAAAAGGAAGCGATACAGGCCCAGTTGACCTCTTGTTATCCTCAAATGTTCCTGTATGTAACACCTTTATCTTGTAACCACTTTAGCAGCTTCATTCATTAAGGAATTTTTATCCAAATTGCAGAACATTTGTCGTCTTCTTTATTGCTGCCAACTTGATACTGCGAGAGGATTTGTATCCTCTGTGATGCCTTGTTTATTTCAGTTGTATTTTTATTTTCAGTTCGATGTGAAAATTCGAGTTTCCTGTGTAACTCAAGTGACTTCTGTATCCCGTACAACATGGAGAGAGATGGTGTGCGTGACTGCCCAGATGGATCAGACGAAACACCTTTTAACATTATAGACATATCTATGCCTAAAGAAAATCGTAAGTTTTCACCAGATTCTGGTAGATGTTCCAAATTAGTTTGTTTTGTAAATTAATCTGCATTTTAATGTTGAATACTGGATGCTTATATATCATGAGAAATACGTATAATAATCCATTAATCCATCAGCTTTATACGAACCAGGTAGGGAATAAGTTCTATCGACTGGAGGTGCCAATTATTTCAACGGTGACCTCCGATATTTCTAGACATCAGGTATTTGTATGTATTATGTGTAGCAGTTGAAATTACAGGTTGCCTCATTAACTTCGTTTGATGGGAATTTTCCTAAAGTCCACTGGTAGAGCGTATTGGTAGAGAATGACGGGTCGATAGGTTGAACCCCAGTGGTGGCAGTGTTTTTCATTACTCCTTTCTTAGACCATATTACCAAAGAGATGATGAATGAAACTATCACCAATAAATCTTATGTCTGTATGATAAAGGGAATATTTTACATGATAATCTATTTCATAATAGATTGATGATGCTTATTTTATTTTGACCTCCAGGGGCCTAAGGAGCAAATTAAGGCCCCATTCATTTGCTGGAATGATATAACTTAAACCAAATATGGTTTGAAGTATCCTTGTAAATGGGAAACAAGTTTTTATTATAAGTTTTATATGACACAACAAAAAAAATCAGATACAAGCTCAAACTCATCTACAATGACCAGCATGTGTATCACACATGTGGCTTTCCTTGATGATGACATCACTTAACCACAGAGATGCTCGAGTTTGCTTGCAGTAGCCCAGAAGTACACATGTACAACCAAACCTTGTTACCTTGGACGAACTTCTAGATAATTAAGGGTTCTTCGAGTTAAACCAGTTGGAAATAACGAGGTTCGACTGTATTTTTAAATCTCCTATTGAATGGGAATGACATTTAGATGACAAATAGATCAAAGTAAGATGGGAGATATGTGTATATATGTTTAACCAAGTTTTTATTATTGCATCCTTTCCTTCTGAAATGAGCAATATTTCTTGGTGAACTTCTTTTTCATAACACAAATTACATAACATCACGATAAAACAATTTTTCCTGATTTGTTTTTGCATTATTGCATATCAAGTGTAACACACTATGAACAATAGACATGGTAGGATGTTTGACATGTAAAAAGTCTATGAAGAAAAATTACAAAAAATTGCCAATGAAATATGTGCTCATAATATTTTTCTTCTGAAATTTAATAACAATAATTTTTCATTATTGAATACATGTCATGTTACCGCACCATGCAATGTAGCGTTCAATAGTTCACGTGATACAAAAAGGCCATTCCAAAATATGTTACATTCTGGAAACGATGTTAAGACAATATTTTAACTTGATATGGTCTGAAGCATCCTTTGAAGAAAAACAAATAGAGTAATACATTTTATTAAATAGTTTGGATTCATTTAACATAGATAAAGTCATTGCAGCCAAACAGTCAGGTGAGTGATTTAAGGTTTTTTCATTTAAAACCAATTTTCATCAGGTAATACTTACCATAACTTTAGTATGCAAATATGGTACCTACATCCATCTTTGTATCCTTTATGGAGCACGACTGAAGGGCAGCCAGGCAGAAAAGGAAGATGGAAGGATAGGGTGGGACTCCATAAAGTTATGATAAGTATTCTCTCATGCAAATTGGTTTTACATGAAAAGCCTCAATTTCATTTCAGTAATAATTACCAAAACTTTAGAATGTGAATTCGTCTTACCGTAGTAGTGACTAGATGCCAGGCAGCCCATCCAGCACAGCCGTAGTAGGGAGGGACAACAGAGTGTCAGAGAGTTGGAAGGGACCTCCCCGTTTAGGAGTAGGTGTACCCATGTGCTGTCCTCGTCCGAGTATCAGAATGCTCGTAAGCGTACGTAATGACCTGAAACCGAGTGTCCCTGTTTGATGGGTAGCGTAGCCTCTGGGCCATTGTAGGCAAGGAGGAAGCGACGACGAGGTGTGTACTTCACTCCTCCTATGTCCAAAGCCCAAGCCTTCGGATCTGGAAACGTGATGGTCAACTGCATCTCCTGGCAGAGAAGAAGAATGCGAATGGCGAGAGCACACAGGACGTGAGACCTGGTGCCCCCTTGTCTCTCCAGATATGCGACAACTGTAGTGTTGTCTGTAGCCACATCAATCATTTTGGATGGCAGGATCCCACAAAATGACTGCAGAGTCAAGAGAACATCCCTCATCTCGAGCACATGGATACGCTCCAAGAGGTGTTTCCCAGATCATTCCCCCGAGCCCGAAAGGCATGGTCCGGAATTGGAAGACCTCCCCGGAGGAGGACCGCCGTCCACCCGACCCAGCTCTTGATCTGCCGCGGCCAAGAAGCTGGAGTCAGGAACCATTCTTCTTGCCCTCAGAAGGGTTTTTCTTGCCCTCAGGAGGGTTTTTACCCTACCTACCCTTCCCCTTGTTGCCCTTCAAGTGAGGCTGTGCAGAAGACTGAGCAGCTGAAGACTTCGCCCTCTTTTTGCACAAGAAGTGCCGAGGCGACTGAGTCCTCCTTCATATCCTTCTGTACAGAAGGAAGCGCTCCCCCAAACAGGGTAGAGCGCGAGAAGGGGGTATTCAACAATCGGGAGAGGTAGAGTTACTCAACCACCTGGCCAACGCGACATTGTCGAGCAAAGAAACTTGCAAAGCCGCCGATGATCTCAGTTCCGTGTTCTGTTCTGCCTCAGATATCCGACCTTCAGGTCAGGTGTGCGAACAAAGTTCACACGGCGAAGCCTCACTGCAAGGGCGGCACAGGCGACAGGCATCATAGGGTCCTGCTCTCCAAAGAAAAGTGAACATCCATGTGCTGGACCCGACGTAACCCGGCGCTAGCCATACTAGAAACGATGATACAATTGTAAACAAAAACTAACAAACCAAACATGAACGAAACCAAAACCAAGTCGTATAACGATGATATAAATTGGAAGATGGGAAAATAACTTCAAAATGAGTAACAAATAATACTCCTATAATGCATTTATGTACTACGAGAAAGGAACCGAAAGCACTCAGCTAAAAACCGGACTCGGCGGCAGCCATAAAGGAAAGAGGAAGGGAGATCACTCTATACTTCTGCCGTGATGGCTCCTGGATCGTAGGGAGGGCGGGATTTTTTTAATCTTGTGCTTTTCGGATACCAAGATGGGTGTAGATACCATATTTGCATACTAAAGTTATGGTAATTATTACTGAAATGAAAATAGACCATATAGGCCTGTTGTTCACTCCAATTTTACCTGAGATTTAGATTGAGATTAAATGAAACGAAGACCTCTTTCAATGATTGTTTCATACATTTAATTAACATTCTTTAATAAGATCCTCTATATACACATATTTACGTTATCAAAAAGACCACTGATAACAGAAAGGGTTTGCTGTGGCTAAGCTAAGAAGTCAAAAGCTCTTTGGGCCAGTTTCAAAATTGTGGAAAAGGACATAACAAAAAATAGTAGTAAATGGGTCGTAGAGGTTACAAAAAATGAAAAAAGGATAATCACACTGCAAGTGACCTGTAAGAAGGTCATAGAGGTTTCAAGGAAAGAGTGCAAAAAAGGACAGCCCCACAGAAAATGTCTTATAAACGGATCATAGAGGTTTCAAGTAAAGGTTAGGTAAGGATAGCCACACTGAAACTGTTCTGTATAGGGGTTATAGACGTTTCAACAAAAGTCTAGAAAAGGATAGCAACACTGAAAATTTCCTATAAAGGGGTCATAGAGGTGTCAGGAAAGAGTGCAAAAAAGGACAGTCCCACAGAAAATTTCTTGTAAAGTGGTCATAAAGGTTTCAACCAAAAGGTTAGAAAAGAATAGTCACATTGAAAATGTCCTGAAAAACGGTAATAGAGGTTTCATCAAAAGGTAAGAAAAGGATAGCCAAACAGAAAATGTCCCGTAAAGGGGTCATGAATGTTTCAAGAAAAGGTTAGAAAAGAATAGTCACACTGAAAATGTCATGTAAATAAATCAGAGGTTTCAAGAAAGATTGAGGAAATGACAGCTACAAAGAAAATGTCCTGTGAATGGGTTATAGAGGTTTCAAGAAAAGGTAACAAAAGGATAGCCACACTGAAAATGTCATGTAAATGGGTCATAGATTTTTCAAAGGAGAAAGGCGAGTGAAGACAGGACAGCCACAAAGAAAAAGTCTTGTGAAGGGGTCATAGAGGTTTAAAGAAAAAGTTAGAAATGGAAAGCCTCATTGAAAATGTCCTGTAAATGGGTCATAGATATTTCAAGAAAATGTTAGAAAAGAATAGCCACACAGGAAATGTCTTGTAAAGGGGTTGATAGAGGTTAAAAATAGGTTAGACAATTATAGCTACACTGAGAATGTCCTGAAAAAGGGTAATAGATATTTCAACAAAAGGTAAGGAAGTGATATCTACACTGAAAATATCTTGTAAAGGGGTCAAAGAGGTTTCAAGAAAAGCATAGAAAACGATGGCCTTACTGAAAATATCCTATATTGGGGTCAAAGAGTTTTCAAGAAAGAGTGAAAAAAGGACTACTACACAAAGATGTCCTGATACAAGGTAATAGATGTTTCAACAAAAGGTTACAAAAGGACAGTCACCTAGAAATTGTCTTGCAAGAGGGTTATTGAAGTGTCAAGAAAAATCTTGGAGAAAGGATAACTAGACTGAGAATGTCCTGTAAAGGGATCATGGGGGTTTCAAGAAAATGTTAGAAAAGGAAAGCCACATTGAACTTGTCCTGAAACATAGTAATAGATGTTTCAACAAAAGGTTACAACATGATAGCCACACTGAATATGTCTTGTAAAGGGGTCATGGAGGTTTTAAGAAAAGGATAGAAAAGTTAGCATCACTGAACATATCCTTTTTTGATGGGATCATAGAGGTTTCAAGAAAAGATTGGAAAAATGATATCTACACTGAAAATGTCCTGTAAAGGGGTCATTGAGGTTTCACGAAAAGGTTAGAAAAGGAAAGCCACACTGAAAATATCCCATATTTTTCCTGCAGTAAGTCTGTCCATATATATAAATGTTAAGTTCAATCACAAACGATGCTATTTTGTTGTTCTGTAATAAGCCTACCTACTGACATGTGTAAAACTTATAATGATGCCTTACTTTGTAAGACGTAGTGTGGTGCTTTACTGTGTAGGATGTAGTGTGGTGACTTACTTTGTAAACGTAGTGTGATTTTTTACTTTGTAAGACAAAGTGTGGAGCCTTACTTTGTAAGACAAAATGTGGTGCCTTACTTTGTAAGACGTAGTGAGGTGCTTTACTTTGTAAGACGTAGTGTGTTGTCTTGCTTTACTTTTTCTTACAAAAGAGATTTTTTTGAGAAAAGTGCATTCTTTTATTTTTTTTTAATCTACTAAGAATGCAATTTCTTTTATGTTTATTTCTTTTCGTTTTCTATTTTCTTTCATTATAAAAACATGCATTTATTTTTCCATTTCCAGTTATATTCACGTGTCTCTTTGAACTGAAAGATGACCCTAATTGTTGGCTCAGAGTTCATCAAC